AGACAGACAAAGGTTTCTCCTTGTGGAAGATATAGTCTAGAATGAATGGGAAAACACAGGAAGCAAAAAATAATTCTATGTACTTGGTGTTGTGTTGTTAAGTGTCGCTGAATCATTTGAGACTCACAGTGACCCTATGTACAGTAGCCTTAAACCCTGCTCTGTCCTGTGCCAAACTCACTGCCTCTGACACACCCACCCCGATTACCCCAGTCACTGAATCAATACACCTTATAGAGGGTCTTCCCCTCCTGCGTTGTCCCTCCACCCACCTGAGCATGACGTCCTTCTCCAAGGACCAATCCTTGAAGGAGGATGTCAGAATTCTATGTACTAGTAAGTGACAGGAAAAAACCTTTTATAAGAATGACATCAAGTTTAACTTGTTAGTTAAATTTGTGTCTTCTAGGCTGCAACACTTCCATGATACATCTTCAAGTATATGAACATGTATGGCTAAGCACAATTAATAACAGTGCATCTAAATTCCAAAATCAATCTCCATAATAGTCTATGTGTTTCCTACCGCCAAAGGGGCCCTTTAGAGTAGTGAGAGAAGATCTTCACCCTGAAACCCACAGCGTCCCTTTTCAGCAGGAAGTAGCTAAGAGAATACGCCATCCCCTTTTCCTTATGAATCAGGGTGAAGTCTTTCTCAGGGAGGAGTGATAGGGAATGGCAAAGGACACACTGACAAAGGAGATTAATCAGAACTGGCTTTGACAAGCACTGTGGCAATTGGACAATTAACACAGACATTCGGGGGGGGAGAAGAATGAACTGGGAAGGAGGGTAGAGAAAACAGTGCAACAATGAATGAATGAAACCCCCAAATCTCTGTAAATGTTCATTAAAACTAATAAAATATAATAATAATTATAAAATAAGAATGACATCAAGGAGTAATACTACATGAGAATGAACTACAATACAAGAAACTTCAAGAAGACTCCAAATAAAAGGAACGGCCAGCGCAAAGACCCTGAAGCATAACTGGTAGACCAGTTTGGAATAGAATTGTGACTTACCTTCTATGTATATGGGAAGAATGAATAACAGAGAACCAGGTTTGGAGTAGTTAAAAAAGCAACTCAAATTTCATCCCCATTATCAGTTTGCCTCTGCACAAAACTGGTTCTCTGCATAGCATTATATTTTATACACAATAGTATGATGCTGAACAAATACATTCTAGAAGTGTATCCAGAGTGTCCCTTAGAAACAAGGATGGTAAGGCTTTGTCTTACACACTTTGGGCAGGTTCCTGGAAAAGGACATCATGATCAGCAAAGTAAAGGGTCAGCCAAGAGAGAAAGACCTTCAATGAGCTAGACAGACACAGCAGCTGCAACCACAGCTCAGACACAAATACAGGTGTGAAGATGCCACAGGATGAGACAGCATTTTGCACTGTTGTACATGGGTTTGCCTTGAGTTGAGAGTTGACTCAATGGCATCTCGTAACAACAATAACAGCAACAACAGTGCCGATACTATAATGGGACTTTAAACACAACAAATTTGGGCTCTCACTATCTTGGCGAGTTCTGCCAAATCTCTCTCAACTTCTCAGAGTCCCCTTCTCCTGCATCTGTCAAATGAGGACAGGGGCTCACGGTTCCACAACGACAGGATATACGTAAACATGTTTGTACTCAACTGGCCACATTCAACAGTGAGTGTCCACTGTGTGGCCGGCACCTGTCGAGGTGGTGCACAGTGTTGTCGTTGTGTGCTGTCCAGTTGGAACTGCTTCCCAGCTGACTCTCCAGCGGGTTGGCAGAGGCTGCATTTAAGCTGAACAGGAGGAGACTGCTCATCTTTCTTCCTCAGAGCAGCTGATGGATCTAAAACATATCCATGCCTTTTGGCTGGCAGCACACTCCTTATTAGTAAGCTTCCAGAGCTTCCTTCTACAGTGTTAGTTAGGAAGATATCTATTAAAGTAGATGCCTCATTTTTAACAAGCACCGTGTCGGTGAAAAACAAAGGCCCGAAATTCATTTAAGAAGAAAGGGAAGGTTAGCAGTACTGTCTTCTCCCTAGTTTTCATTTTTCTCCCTGAAGCCTCTGTTAAGCAAAGCTTTCTCAAGCAGCAGCATCTTTAACAGGAAATAAAACAGAAATCGTTAATAGTATATTGGAAATGTAGATCTTTATAGCCACAAGAACACAGGATCTATTAAGGCCAGCTTCGAGTCACAGATAACCATGCATTAATCAGCCCCTCCAATTTCAATTTCTACCCAGTAAAACTGAGACAAACCCTACTTCCTCAGACAGTGGCAATCCAAGACCAAACAAATATATGATGGCATCTATTGTTGTTAACTTCCTTAGAATCTGTCCTTGGCTCACGGCAGGCAGTTCCACACGGAATGAAATACTGCCTGCTCCCACAACATCTTTATGGTCAGATAAAAACTGGGTAGTTATGATCCAAAGAATTTGCATTGGCCCATTTTCAGAAGGCTTGCTTCTGAGTCTAAAAGCTCTGCCTGAAACCTGTTAATGATCACAACAGTATCAAGACTGACAGGGATGGCGGCGGCACATAAGGTGATTTTCCTACAGAGAAAGTCTGAATTCTACCACAGGACCAGCAGCCTAGTGGTTGGCTGGGTAAAATATAAGTGATGGGTAAATGCCTCCCTTACTCCTGTGTGTGGCTGTTTGGAAGTATAGAACATCCCTACTCATACATATAGGAGTTGTTTGGCTGCTAACAAAAATATTGGTAGTTCAAACCCACCAGCTGCTCTGCAGGATAAAGATGAGGCAGCCAGTTTTAAAAAAGATTTACAGCCTCAGAATTCCTCAGTCCCAGGCTGTATTCCAGGGTTGTTACGAGTCTGCTATGGTTTTGATATTTGAAATTGCTTCTTTTTTTTTCCTCATATGCAAAAGGAAGTGGAATCTCAGGTAACCAAAACAGTTGATTTGTATACGTATATGCGTTAAATTGATACTTTAATGGAAATATTTTCTTGTGCTTTCAGTGAAAGTTTACCTAGTAAATCCATTGTTGCTGCTGTTAGAGTCAACAACACTGACCCTCGGGACAATCCATTCGACACTTTCACTATTCTGCAGTCTTGTTTGTTCGGGGCATAGTTAGCAGTTTCTACAACATTTATGTCAACTTTCTCATTTTTCTCCCCATCTGGTTGTTCCTTTTCTAGTAATCTAGTTTCCCTGTCCCCCTTGCCTTCCAAACTGGTTGATTTTATGTTGCTCTCAGATATCGCGTCTGCTAGGAAGAGGTTAATTAAGTTAAAGCTATTTCTTTCTCCCAAAAGGAGCAGAAAGGACAACTACTCAGAGCCCATGATAAATCAAACCCAAACCACTGCCAGGGAGTTAATTCCAATTCACGCAACCCTCCAGTGGTTTTCTGGGGTTGTAAAGGTTAATGAAAGAGACTTCCTCATGTATCTTCCAAGAGACACCTGGTAGGTTTGAACTGTCAACCTTTTAGTGAACCACCCCACATTTAACCAGAAAGCTCAATTTCCCAACAGCCTGTGCTAACTCCATTCAGACTACACTTATGGGAAAAGCTCATGGCCAAACTACCTGTTCTACCACCCATTGCCTCTTCTTTTTAAGTGAACTACCAAGACTTGGATTTTCCAGATGCCTAGAATGGAAGCCATGGTACTTGGAGAAAAAGACCAAGAAAAGCTGAGAAAATAAGACCCTGCATAAGAAATGCAAAATACAGACCAACCAGGAGGTACAGGAAAAGACAAAAAATGTATCTATTTGTCTTGAAGGTCAAAAGATAAAAAAACTGTTGAGTCATTTGTGACTCATGGCAACCCTATGAGTATCATAACAGAACCATGTCCTATAGGGCTGGTGGAAAAGGCAACCGCCAACGAGGACAAGGCCTGAGCAGCTGGCTACTTTTTAAGCAGAGCACCACCACACCTGGTGCAAACTAACTGGGTAAGGGACCTACCCAACACCCAGGAACCCCGCTAGGAAGATCTCTCCCTCCTCTACCTCATACCTCTCCCCCAGCCCTTCCCCGTTTCTGCCCTCGGGCAGGAGGCATGACACACTTCCTGCCCACCTGGACTTCTCCACCTTCCTGAGACCTCCTCTTCTTCAGGGGGAGGGAGCGCAGAGCTCATATTACAGCTGCCCCCACCTTCTGCCACAGGAGGCAAAATGGCAAGGGAGTTTTTGTTTTCTCCACTCATCATCCAGTGGCATTCCGCGCCCCGCCCCCCCCCCCCAGTTTATTTACAAAATTCGAATACATTGTTTTCAAGAACAAATTCTTTCCATTTTCCTCACCTCCCCACCCATCAAATTGCACAACCTGCACACCCTCATCCCTCTGCTTCCAGCCTCTCCCACCCCTCTTGGATCCTTATACTCATTTTACAATGATGGTTTTATACATTATTTATCCTTGTGGGACAGTTAGTTCCTTCAGCATAATACTCTCCAGTCATCATACAGTTTTGAAGACTCTTTGTATGAGGAATCATGTTTCTTAGATTTCAACATTCCAGTCCTATTCTCGAGGCTTTTTTTTGCCCTATCTATAATTAATATTGCTTTCAAATCATCACTTTTGCCTAAGTAAATTAATTTTAAAATGAAACATTCTATTAAAGGAAAATCAGTATTTATGCACTTTAATGTATATATGTATTTTTATAAAAATGCCTATTTATGAACCATTTAAAATAATTTCGGGTGGCACTACAAGAGAAAATACAGGCTTGGGGGTGCAACGACAGTTTCCATTCACTGGCCGGGAACTCTGGGCGGCTAATCTGAAAAACCAACTTGGAACTCTCCAGACCTCCAGTTTTTCAGTCGAGCTGGTCCGAGGTGTTCACTGCTACCCCGGGCCACTCAGAGAGAGAGAGGGCAAAGGGCAGGAGGAACGACGGGCGATGGGAGTTCCAAGGTCCCCACGGGGTGACGTGGGGACATTGATAGCGAAAGAGACTTTTAAAGTCCTGCCAGTGGCAACAGACCTGCTCGCGAAGGGTGCAGTGAATGTCCGAGGCGACGCTTCCTTCCCACCACGGCTCATCCATCATCGCGTCGGCGGCGCGGCAATCCGAGGCTATGTGGCTCGCAGGACGTACCCTGCACGGTGGACAAGGGCAACTTCAGCTGGGGCGCACTCCCTGGTTCAGACCCCCGGCAGCCCGATCCGCGCACTCCCCCTCCGGTCAGGCTCAGGCGGGCTAGTGGTGGCCTCTCTTACTGGTGTCCCCTCCCTTCTGCCCGCTGGGCCCGGGGCAATAGGAAGCTCTGCAACAACTTGCAGAGTTTTATTTTCCCTCTTGCAAAAGTTGCATAGAAAGTTGCCCACTCCACTAACTCGCCCGGGGCTGGGACTCCGGCGGCGACGACCGGCGCGCCGTCCCCAACTCCTCCCCCGCCGCCTAGCCTTTGTCCTGCTCCCACATCCTGCCCTCGACCGGGGCGAGACTCACGCATCCTTCTCCGAGCTTGGGGGGCTGCAGCCCCAGAGCCCTCCTAGGTCCGAGCTGGAGGGTGCCCTCAAATGCCTGCCCACGCAGAGCGCCTGCCCAGTTCGCTCCACTCTCGGCGGCCGGTCTGCAAATCAGCTCGAGCCAGCGGCCGCCGCGCCCCTGCGTGCGCTCGGGTCCCGCCGCGGCTCGCAGCCTCTCGGCCGCCCGGGGCCTCCCTCCTTCGCTGGGGGAATTGGGGGCCGGGCCTCGCGCATGCGCCGCCAGCGCCCTGAGCCCCGAGGGCTTGGGGGGCTGGGAATGAAGAATCTTAATTTTGCAGCCGCTGCTTTACCTTCCAGGCCACCCTCTTCTGTCGCTCTGTTGGAAAGGGTCCCCTCACCTTCACGGAGTCCTGGGCGCCAGCGCCCCCGCTCTGCCATCTGCAAGAGGAAACTAGGACCGCGCGCCACCTGCGCGCACCACGCGTGAATCGCCTCGGCAAGGTGCCCGGGGAAGGTCAGCCTCCGCCTGCAGCGCTCCCGCCAGCTTTCTGACCCGAACACCTGAGTTCTCTCTCTTTCTCTTTTTTTAAAGCCTATTCTGCGTTGAGGAGATAGATTTCCAAACGAACCTATCTCGACAAAAGCCTCAGAAAAGTGGAAAACAAACAAAAAAGAGTCACTTTTAATTATCTACAAGTTTCTAATTCTAAGGGAGGTTCAGTAAGCCAACTGATACTTCATGTACTCTGGCTCCATGTTTATTTTAGAGGAAAACCAACTTTTTGGTGGGTCCAGTGGATGCAAAACATTGTTTTTTAAAATTCAGTTAATTGCTTTGGGAAAGACACTCCCCTGGGTCAGCAAACCGTTGCTCTTTTGGCTGGCACCTGAGAGTGTGGGGGCGGGGAGGGGGAGAGAGAAGGGTTTTGGGGGAATGTGTGTAAGAGAAGTTTTGGAGGTGCACTGACCTAGAATCAAGTCTGACTTGTGCAATCCACCAATTAGCGAATTTTTGACAAGTTTTTCAGATTGTCTGAGCCTGAAATCCCTAAATTGGAAATTTAAATAGTACAAACCGGCTGAATATACTGGGCATTAGATGAGATGATGCGTGTGAAAGGTTAATTACCTTATCAGGTATGAGGTGAGAACTCGAAAAATTGCTTCCATCATAGAGCCTTTCTTTCGTTCCGATGAGTCTTCGTCAAGACCCAGCTGAGGGATAAAAGCAAAACAAAACAAAACAAAAAACATGGAAAATCAGCAGCTCTGATTTGAAGAGCAGTTTTAATGTAAAAATAGCTATACATTCTCATAAAAGTGTATAAAGTGCCTAGCTTAACTAGCCCAAAATGAAGAAATTCCAAAGGTTGAACTGTTAAAAGGAAGGATTGACCAAACAGAAAAGACAAAAATACCCACTTTACCCACATCGCAGTATTTAATAAAATTATAATGGTTCCAAATAGCATTATTTCATAAAATTATAATGGTTATTAGGAGGTTGAAGAGAGGGACATTTGACAATTTTCCAACAGTCATATAGTAGAATATGGTGAGAAAATAATGAGAATTTAATGTTTTATGAACATGAATAGGCCGATGTTGCAAATTTTAAACCATATTGCAAAGAGAAAATTAATACCATGTGGTGTTGACACTAGAATGGATGGATATGCATTAGTAGAATAATTGAAAGTCTAGAAGCATATGCAATATACTAAAAAAGTAAGTGTGCTATAAAGGTAAGATGTTTCACTTTAGTAGGGGGAAAGAATAATTTCTGGAGTAGATTAGGCTGAGTAAATTAGTTAACCTGGACAGAAATTAAGACTTAGAGATTTATTTGCACCATTACCGAAATGAATGTAGGACCTTAAAGAACTACTGAAAGATAACAGTAATCCACAAGAGAATTATAAGAAAATATTGGTGAATTATTTTAGAGGGAAGGCCTAAGTGTTGAAACAGGGGAAGAAAGTAAAAGTAAGGCTTGATAGATACATTTTAATACATATTCAAGGCTTGAAATGCTCGTCACAATGATTTGGTGTTTTGGGTAGTTTTGTTTTGTTTTTTTTTTTTATAAAAAGTAGCAAGTATTGGTGGGAATGGGAGAAAGTGGTGCATTGCTCAAGGAAATGTGAAATGATACCACTTCTAGGGGAAACAGTTTCAATGCCTTCCAGCATTAAGCGTAGACTTTCCATACTTTAAACCAAACCCATTGCCATTGAGTCAATTCAGCTCATACAGGCCTCAGCCAAGTCCTGAGGCTTTATGGGAAAAAGACTGTCCCAATTTTTTCATGGGTGCATTAAAATAAAAATAAAACAAATATCTCACCACTCAACTAGGGCATCTTTAGAATTATTTAATCCAGTAGCAATTCCACCGCTAAATTATATGTGGATAAGAAACACTTCTAGGGAGCTCTGGTGGCCTAGTGTCAAGAAGTTGCTCTGCAATCCCAAAAGCATGAGGTTCGAGGCCACCAGCTGCTCCGTGGGTGAAGGATGGGCAAGCTCCTCCCATGCAATTAACTGCTTCTGAGAACCCACTGGAAGGTCAGCTTTGGGTCAGTTCTGACTCTATGGTATACAACAACAACAACAATAATATACATATAGGGAGCTCTGGTGGCCAAGTGCACTGCAATCCTGAAGGCTTGTGTTTCAAATCCACCAGCTGCTCCATAAAAGAAAGATGGGCAGTCTCCTCCTGTGAGATTACTGCCTCTAAAAACCTGCTAGAATGGGTCAGTTCAGACTCGATGACATACAACAACAACCATACACACACACTCACACACATATATATACATGCTGTTTTTGTTGTTGTTATGTGCTGCCAAGTTACCTGTGACTCATAGTGACCTTACGTGCAATTGATCTGGAGCCTGCCTTGTCCTGAGACAATCTCACTGACTCCAACACACCTACCATCATTGCCCCAGTTACTGTATCAATCCATCTCATCCAGGGTCTTCCTCTCCTACGCTGTCCCTCTACCCTTCTGAGAATTTCCTTCTCCAAGGATCAGTCCCTCTTGGCCACTTGCCCAAAGTATGTGAGGCAGAGCTTCAAAATCCTGGCCTTGAAGGAGAAACTTGGTTTCACCCTCAAGACTCTTCTCTAGAACCGCGACTTAAAGGCATCATTTCTTCTTCTGTCATCCTTAGTCATTGTGCATTGCAAGTAATTGCGAAGACCATGACCTGGATTGGGTGCATCTTAGTCTCTAGACTGACATTATTGCTTCTCAGTACTCTGGAGAGGTCCCCAACAGCAGATTTACCTAATGCAAGTTGTCTTTTTATTTCCTGGCTGTTGGTGCCAAGAGTGTTCATTGTGGAGCCAAGCAAGCTGTGATTTTTAACAACCTCGATCTTTTTCTCCATCTATCATGGTGCTGGCAACCAGCCCAGTGCTGAGAGTATATATATATATTTGATATTCTGGTAGTCCATGGTATACTCAGGGGGCTCAGGTGGCTTAGTGATAAAGAATTGTGCTGCCAGCCCAAAATCACAGGGTTCAAATTCACCAGCTGCTCCAAGGGAGAAAAAAAGGGCAGTCTCTTCCTGAGTATTTAACTGCCTCTGAAAACCCACTGAAGGTTCAGTTATGAGTCGGTTCCAACTTGACAGTACATAACAACAACAGCTTATAAAAATTTAATATAGAGACTCAAATAGATTTTTTTTAAATTAAAAAAATTTTTTTACGGGGAGCTCTGGTGGCCTAGTGGCAAAAAGCTGCACTGCAATCCCAGAAGTATATGGTTCGAATCCACCAGATGCTCTGCCAGAGAAGGAGGGACAATCTCCTCCTGTACCAGTCAGATCCGATTTGACGGTACACACACACACACACACACAAAAGAATAAAAAAATTTTTTTTACTATTGTCATTGTTTGTGTGTGTACCTTCAAATCGGATCTGACTTGTACAGGAGGAGATCGTCCCTCCTTCTCCAGAAGAGCATCTGGTGGCTTTGAACCGCACGCCTCTGGGATTGCAGTGCAGCTTCTTGCTACTAGGCCACCAGAGCTCCCTTCAAATAGATTCTTAAATACCAATGATCTTTACATTATTTTTCACAAACTCCAAAAGGTGAAAACATACAATAGATGACTTTTTGTCATGTGCTGTCAAGTTTGACTCATAATGACCTAATGCACAATAGCTCTGAAGCCTGACATGTCCTGAGCCAATCTGACTCTCTCCAATACATCTACCCCCATTATCCCAGTTATTATGTCAATGCATTTCCTCCAGGCTCTTCCTCTCTTACACTGCCCCTCCACCCTTCTAAGTATAATAGACTGATCAGCAGATAAATAGATAAACAACATGTGGATAACATATGGAACATAATATATTACTCAGCCACCCTGGATCTGCTCACCAGGTTGTACCAAGAAATCTGGAGGACAACTTCCTGGCCAACTAACTGGAAGAGAACCATATCTATTCCCATTCAAAAAAAAAAAAATGTAACCTGACAGAGTGTGGAAATGTGGAAATTACCATACAATATCGCTCATATCACAGGCAAGCAAAACTCTGCTGAAGATTATCCAGAAATGACTGGAAGAGTAGTACAGCATCAGAGAACTATCAGAAATACAGAAATATAAGCTGGGTTAGTAAGAGGCTGTGACACTAGAAACATTATTGCCAATGTCACATGGATCTTGGCAGAAAGCAGAGTACCAGAGGATTATCTGTCTATGTTTCATTGACTATGCAAAGGCATTTGACTGTGTGGATTACAACAAATTGTGGTTAACCTTGAGGAGAATGGGAATCCCAGAACACTTGATTGTGCTTATGTAAAACCTATACTTGGACCAGGAAGCAGTCCTCAGAAAAGAGCAGGCAAACAGTGCATGGTTCAAAATCAGGAAACGAGTGCATCAGGGATGCATCCTGTCTCCATACCTTTAAAATCTATATGCAGAACAGATCATTCAGAGGCTGGGCTTTATGAGGAGGAATGTGTGACCTCAGGATTGGAGGAAGATTCATCAACAACCTACATTATGCAGATGACACAACCCTGCTTGCTGAAATTAAGGAGGACATGAAGTGCTTGCTGCATAAGGTCAACAACTGTAGTCTTCAGTATGGATTGAAGCTCAACATCAAGAAGACAAAGATTCTCACCATTGGGCCAATTGACAGCACCATGATGAGTGGAGAAGACATTGAGGTTGTTAACAGTTACACCTTGCTTGTCTCCATAATC